TGAATAAATGAAGGAAAAAATTAGGTAGAAGAGTATTTGAAAAATTATCTAAGGAGAGATTTCCAAATTTTAGTTTATCCTGAATAAAGAGTCACTTTTTTTCCTTAAAAGAAAAAAAGTTGTCAACAGGCTAGAATTTTGCATCTTTAAACTTTAAGTCTGGAGAAGATCTAAAACCATAAAGATTTCAAATAATTACAGAATTTTATATTTTTTCACTTGTACAATAACACCCAAGAAGTCTGCCTTTTTAAGTGCTGATGAAATCACCTCCAACCCTCTCCATGATATCATACTCTACTTGATGATGGGCAAAGAGAGGAGAAAACCTTTTGTTATATATTATTGTAACTCATGATTTAAAGCTATACCGCCAAATGAATCAACATTGTTAATACACTCAAACAAATAACATGACGAACATGCTCCCTTATAAACTTGATGACATTTTGAAATCATATACTACCTCCTCCACTTCCTTAAATTACCCTACGCCACTATCACAGTAATCACATCAATGCAATCCATGCAAATACAAGACATCATTCTCTCTCCATCTGTCCTTAAAAGCCCCACTCAGCAGTTTGTGCTATAGCACCATGCTGCAGCATCCCTGCACTTGAACTTGGGAATAGGCTTTCCAGGACTGCAGGCAGAGTCCTTACCGCATTCCTTCTGAACCTCATCTTGCCTCTCGGGGGATTTGCTTCTGCCATCTCGCCTAGACACAATTACACTCTTCTTTTCCAATTGTCAATGCAACATTGATGAAATGTGAGCTGCTTCTGGGGTAGTATTTAAAAACGGCAGCCAAAAATCTCTATCAAACAAAGCTACCGTAGCTGCTTCCATTACCACCGTGGCAGCGCTGCAAAAAAATCCACTATCCCTGATTAGTCAGCTGACAGATCCTTCCCTGCTGCTCATTGTAATTCAGAGTTGACACATTCCCCCAATTACTTAGCCTGATTGAACCTTGTGGATTAGCTTGTGCTGGACTGCTCAAGAAGATCAGGCATGTCCTAAGAGTGGAGGAAGAAAAAATAATCAGTCTCTCCTCCTAGGAACAGTCTGATGGGACTGGCTTTCTCCCCTCTACGCAGTTGGATTTTTAAGGTGGAATGCTAAGAATCTCTGTGAAGGTAGTATTAACTGATAGATTTTACTCTTGTCCTACCCTGGTCTATGATTTAAATTACAAGCTGCATTGTTTAACTTTTTATTAAATTCTACCCTGGATTGGGAAAGGTTACAGTTTGTGAAATTCTGCCCTGATAGTAATCTAAAAAGAACAGAACATGTAAACTTCTACAATGGATAGGATTCTCACTCAAATTAACCTTTCCCCCAAAGAGCTAGAAGACAGAATTTTTAATTTTCTCACCACAAAGAAATCATAAATGTTTTAGGTGATAGATATGCTAGTTACCCTGAATTGATCATTATACAATGTATATATTAATTAAAACATCATATTGTGCCCCCATTAAAATGTACAATTATTATGTCAATCAACAATAATTTTTTTAAAAATCTCTTCTCATTAATTATAAAGTATAACCTAACTTTTTATTTTGGAATCTGTAAATTAAGGTCTTCAAATTGAATTGTATTATTATTTCATAGACACTTAAAGTAATATGCCATAGTTACACCTGCCTGCATAATTGTAACTTCCACTAAAAATTCTTTAGGAAGGTCAATTTACATTCTTGAAATGAGCTCATATTCAATACTTACCTTTATTTCAAACAGTGCCCAATTGCTACTGATGGTTGAGATATAATTAATGTGCTCTTAAGTATCAGAAACATTTAAAATGGTTGAAAAAATACAAAACAACCTATAGCCACACCATTCATGTCTACTTTGTATACAACAAGAGAAATGAAAAATTGTGCTCCATTTGTGTACTATGAACTGAAATGCATTCTGATGTCATGTATAACAAATTACTACAAATAAATTTTTTAAATAATATAAAAAATAAATATAGTAAGGGAAACTCAAAAACTATTAAAGAATTTCATATGGCTGGTAATAACTGATTCCTAGCAACTCTGGTCTGATAGAAGTGGGCCATATGAAATTTCCAAAACCAGTACCAATGTTGTCAGCTCATGTCACAAGCACCTGTACCCCACCTTACCCCCGTGCCATCAATTTGGCAGTTATGAGAACAAAAGGACCCTGAGCACTGAGCTCTTTACTGAAAATGGTTCATCCTTCCCCACTGAGAGAGCATTCCTAAGAAAACAAAAAGGAGAATATCACTCTTTAGGAATAAGTAGTATCCCTCTATTGGCCTCAAATGGATAGAATCCACATAATCTGTTTCTTTTATGCAAAATGATATATCTGTTCCAACCAACCTATTTGATTAATATAAGTAAAACTTTACCAAAAGACTGATGTCATGTGCCAAACAGATATTGAAAATTTAAATTAAGTATAGTGTTGGCCAAAAGAAAAAGAAAACCAGGCAGTAAAAAAAAAATATTTTATTGCAACAAGTGCTATACTTAGTATAAAAGAATTGATTATTGGCATAAACCAAAGACTATTCCACAAGCTCAAGGAAAATCCAAAAAGGCCACAGCAAGGAAAATTACTTTTACTTCATTTAGCCCCACTGATAGGACTCAATAATATATGGAGGGCAGATTTATCTTCTACAAGGCAAAAAAAGCCACTGAATTTAGTTGTTGTATATCCATATATCATTTGGAAAATGACACAAAGCAGCAAGTAGAAAGGGAACCAACTGAAATTCATGAAATTTCATTTCTTGCTTTAGCTATTTTGGTTACTTAGCTATCTGACCTTGGGTTCAACCTTTTCAAAATATATGTAGCAATGTAATTTCATCATCTATGAGATAATTATGGCAATACCTGCCTATAATACCTGCCAGGAAATAAGAAGAATCAACATTACTTAATAAGTGTGAATGCTTTTTGAAAAAGCAAAAATATACATGAAGGTTCTGCTATTTTATTTTAGTAACTTATTTGAAGCTGGTATTCTCTCCACTGCTTATGATCAAACAACTCTTAAAAAAAAAAAAAAAAACTTTGAAAATTAGCCCAAGATGAGGAATAATTCATGCTGGATTGGGAAAGAATAATGATCTCACTCATTTTACCATGTAAATGCTAGTATTTTACTTTCCCTTTGAGACTAGGTCTCACTATGTTGCCCAAGCTGGTCTGGAAATCCTGGGCTCAAGCAAGATCGTGTCTCAGCCTCCCAAGTGGCTGGGATTATAGGGGCATGCCATGCCACTACATTCTGCTTTGAGTGCTAATATATTTTTATACTAATTGGTAAAATAGTATAGCAAAAAGGAGTATTCACTTAGAACTCCAACAACCTATACTTTGGTCTTGTCTTTGCAACTAAATCTACTTCCTCTAGTGGGAGTGGCCTCCTAAATCAGCAAGGAGACAAAATTAGAATTTCTGATAGAACTAAGAAGTTCTTGTTTTCTAGGCATAGTAGGATAACTATAGATAATGATAATGCATATTTCAAAAAGCTAGAAAAAAAAGATGTTTTCACCATAAAGTAGTGATATACATTTAAAGAGATAATCCATTACAAAGTGCTGAGTTTTACATTATATAATGTATGTATGTATCAAAACATCACATGGTACCCTATAAATATGTAAAATGTTTTACAGTACTGGTGATTAACCCAAGGGTATCCTTACCACTAAGCTACATCCTTTAATTATCTCATAGATGATGAAATTACATTGCTACATATATTTTGGAAAGGTTGAACCCAACGTCAGATAGCTACATCCCTTTTTATTTTGAGACAGGGTCTCACTAAGTTGCTTAAGGCTTCACTAAGTTGCTGAGGCTGGCCTAGAACTTGTGATCCTTCTGCCTCAGTTGTCCTTATCTCGCCCCACCCCCATTGCTGGGATTATAGGAATGTACCACCACACTGTGACAATTTTTATATTTTAATGTATCAGCTAAAAATAAATTTAACTCCCCACTATATTATATATTGCTGAGTGTCCTTTTTTTGCAAATAAAGTAATGGATGTACACAAAATAGAGCCACACCATTTGTGTCTACTTTGTATACAACCAGAGAAATGAAAAACTGTGCTCCATTTGTGTACTATGAACTGAAATGCATTCTGATGTCATGTATAACAAATAACTACAAATAAATTTTTTAAATAATATAAAAAATAAACAAAGTAATGGAAACTCAAAAACTGTTAAAGAATTTCAGATGGCTGGTAATAACTGATTCCCAGCAACTCTGGTCTGATAGAAGTGGGCCACATGAAACTTCCAAAAACAGTACCAATCTTGGCAGCTCAGGAGGAGTCTGTGAGTTCCCCCTACTCATGTATGAAAGGAAAGTGTCACACAAAGTCACTATATCCTAGTGAGCCTAATAATGTAAAAGATCATCCTGGCTGTGGGCATGATTGTACTTCTCATATTGTTTCTTTTTGGAAAACTGTTCATTTACTGGGTCTTAGAATACTGGGGACTAGATTCCAATATGGGAGATTTGTTATTTTGTAGGTGACTCATCTCCCTACCTTATCCAAGTCTAGAAAGATGCATACTAAAATGTTATAAAGGGCTTATTTCTGGGTGGCTAGATTTATTCATTACATTTTAAACTTTCTTTATTATACTTTTCTACATACAATGAGTATACATCACAGCTTTTTTTTTTTTAAGTTCCCATAAAAACTTGCTTTGCTCTGAAAGGAATATAGAACCATGTGTCTTTGCTCACTTATAACTTGAACAACCAACTATTCATCCTTTCCCATTAAGATTTGCATTGGGGAGTTGTTTATTTACCTCTGTCTCCTCTACAAATCTTCTTCCTACATTTCCTCCTCATTATCTCATCTGCTTATTGTTTCTGTCAACATCAAAACAATCTACACCCCCAAAACAGAGAGTATAATGTAAACCAAAAAAGAAGTTACTATAGAATACAAAGGTACTTACAGAGATTTTTTGGAGAGATATCTTAAGAGAGGACCATGTATCCAATCTTCGATCCAAAATAATGGTAAACTGGGAATCAGATCCATTTTGCCTGCAAGGTAAGTGGAAATGATAACCTTGTCTTAGTAATTACCCAAATTTTCTCTATATGCCTTTATTTCTGATTATTTCATTTACATTTGATATTTGACTAAAACAGATTTATATTTTGAAATCTATTACAAAGTGCTTATATAAGCAGTTTAATTCTATGTTCCCGTACTCATGATTTAAAATTTCTTCTTCAACACTAATACCAATCTTTTAAATAGGAAAGTGATAGTGCAATGAAGATAGGTCACTAAAGTGGATTTCTTGGGGGTGGGAAAACCCAAAGATAACTGTTCTTCATCACAACCACATTTAACTTTTCATCAACAGCCAATGATCCATTCATTCAGAAAAATATTATTAAATATATTTTGCTACCTCTAGCTTGTTCCTTGAGAAGATAGTTCAGTGGATTATATAACATTTATTTGCCCTAAAAAGACCATTTTTAAGCTTCAACAGTTAAACTACAAATTTGCTCTTCTAGGATTTGATTTTTGCTCACAAGACTCTTCAAATGTTACATTCTAGATTTATGCTCTCTTATTCTTCAGGGTTAGTAAATGGAATATGTTTCCTTTAAAAAGCTGTCTTCAACGTTTAAAAAAATTTCTAAGGAGACTTTTCAATTTTTTATTGTAAAGCATTCTCGTTCCAAATGATTCTAATGTCAATTCATTCCTCCTAGTATCTCCCAATTCCACTACTGAGTCTACTTGAGATGCAGTCTTGTGATCCTTGGAAGAAATGAAGAAAGTCTATCCTCACTCTTAATGTAAATTAAAGTCTTTATGTAAGATTATCATTCTTAGTCTTCATGAGAACAAATACTTCTAGACTGCTAATTTTATTTTCATAGACTCTCAGTATAAGGTTTATAGCAATTAGGTAGCTGTCAGTTTCCTCTTTGGTTATATTTCTTTTCTACTCTGAAGGTAAGTCTGTTTATTATTCACAATAATAATAATAGCTACATTAACAAGCCATTTTCCTGGTATAACATTTGAATGGGTACTTGATATAAAACATATTGAAAAAAATAATAAAATGCTACACCTTGCAATAGATGTCAGGTAAGTGAGGACTTTTGCTATTGCTTCCTCTGGTATACATCTAAAATTACAGTTTTCTGGAAATGTAATGATCCAAGCATTGTCCTTTCCCCGGCCACCTAAAATAGTAAAACAAAATCAACCAAATTAGCAATTTATGTGACAACAATACAAGGAAAAAGATTCTAGATATAAAGGAGGGAAGGGTTTAGAAGACTGAGGTCAACAAAATTTTTTAGGTTATTAGTATCCACATAAACCAAAATGGCAGCAAGCTCCTCATACTTTAAGTTGAAAAAGTGGCAGGATGGCTTCTAAACGAAAAATCAAAGAAAGAAGAATGAATATAACCAGAAGAAAATTTCATGAAATATGTGTAATAAATATAGTTGAAGAAATAGCTGATCTCCCAAGTTGGATAATCAAGGGAGCTTAGGGAATAACTGTTTCTATTTCAGTGTTAAGAGCCTGAAATCCAAATGAGGGATTGACAGCAACTGGAGAACTTGAAAAAATTGACCTCATAGAATCATGGTAAGCATAAAAAGATGGAAGAAACAAACTAGAGGAAGTAAGTGATGGTCTAATGTATTTATGAAAATAACAACAAAATAAATAATAGCAGCAGTAGTATAGAGATTTTATTAACACAAAAAAAACTCACAAATTCACTGTTAAAATTTAACATGGAGGGCTGGGGTTGTGGCTCAGAGGTAGAGCACTTGCCAAGCATGTGTGAGGCACTGGGTTCGATCCTCAGCACCACATAAAAATAAATAAATAAAATAAAGGTATTGTGTACATCTACAACTAAAAATTTAAAACAATTTAATGTATAGCCTGGATGGTGAATCAAAGTTCAAACAGGGCAAGGGGTTAAGATTCGGCCCCTCCAGGCTCCATCTCTTAGGCCCCCCACCATACTGTGAACCAGGAGAATTTCTATCCAGCAGTACCTCCTCCAGCTGTACCTCGACTAGATGGGTACCATGGGGAAGCTCGGGTCCCAGGAGTTGTAGGTGAGACTTCCCTTGGCCCATTTCCATAAGGACTTGGAGCAGGGATAACTGTCATTGAGATTCCTTGTGGAGAATAACTGGATTGGCACTGGGCTTTCATTTTGAGGTAAACTGCCATCTCTATATGTCCCTCTGCCAAGCCCTATAGCCCCCTATTCAGCCTGGGTGATGAAGTACATTGAGCATGAATGCCATGTAGTGCTGAAATGAGCTTTTACATGTTTAAGGTCCCAAACTGCAGCTGGCCTAAACACCTACACAGAGAATGAGTGATCAATAAAAATTAAGTGCTAAATGGAATTTGAACAATTATTTTAGGAAGAAATCTGCAGGGTGATCTTTTAATTTAGCTTGCTAATAGAAAAAATATAGACACAATTGTGATTCTTATTGGCTGAATCAAAGTGAATATGTAAAAGTATTTTTAAAAATTCAATGTATGATAATGGCAAAGGAGATAAAATGGAGTGATAAAAATACTCAATCCAAAAAAAGGAAGAAATGGAGGAAAAACAATGAATGGGAGAAATATAAAATAAATAGTAATATGGTAGATTTAAACCCAACTATATGAATAATCACATTACATGAAAATGATCTAGACATTACAATTAAAAGTGAAAGATCATCAAACTAGATAAAAAAAGATCCAACCTGGGGCTGGGGTTGTGGCTCAGTGGTAGAGCACTTGCCTGGCATGTGTGAGGCCCTGGGTTCAACCCTCAGCACCACATAAAAATAAATAAATAAAGTAAAAATCCATTAACAACTAAAAAAAAGTTTAAAAGATCCAACCATATGCTGCCTACAGTAAATAAACTTTAAATATAAAAGAACAAATGTACTGGGGCTGTGATTGTGGCTCAGTGGTAGAGCACTTGCCTGGTAAATGTGAGGCACTGGGTTCAGGTCTCAGCACCATATTTAAATAAATGAATAAAATAAAGGTCTGTCAACAACTATTTTAAAAAAAAAGAACAAATGTACTAAAAGCAAAAGGATACAAAAAGATGCACCAGGCTAATAGTAGTCAAAAAGAATCTGTCTAATATTAGACAAAGTAGATTTAAGAGCCAAGAATATTACTAGCTAATAAGAAGTTCATTTGGTAATGATAATGTGATTAATTCATTAAGGGAACATAATCCAAAATACTTATGCACCTTAAAACAGAGCTTTCAAAATATATGAAGCAAAAACTGATAAAGCGGCAAGAAGAAATAGACAAATCTACAATTTTAGTCAGAAATTTCAGCTGGGTTCCATGGTGCATGCCTATAATCCCAGGTGGTTGGTAGGCTAAAACAGGAGGATTGCAAGTTCAAAGCCAACCTCAGCAATTTAGCAAGGACATAAGCAACTTTGTGAGACCCTGTCTCAAAATAAAAAATAGAAAAAAGGGCTGGAGCCAGGCACAGTGGCGCATGCCTATAAACCCAGTGCTAAGGCAGGAGGATCATGAGTTCAAAGCCAGCCTCTGCAACTTAGTGAGGCCTTAAGCAACTCAGTGAGATGCTGTCTCTAAAGAAAATACAAAATAGGGATGGGGATGTGGCTCAGTGATCAAGTGCCCCTGGGTTCAATCCCCGTACCAAAAAAGAAGGGGGTAGTGGAGCTGGGGATATGGCTAAGTGGTTAACCACCCATCTCTCAATAACTAATAGAACATGTAGCAAAACATTTGCAAGGATACTGTATAAATGAACAAACTCTCAACCAACATGACCTAAATGAACTCTATGGAACCCTCTACCAAATGAAAACAAGATACACACTTTTCTCTAGTGCACATGGGAAAAAACCAAATTAATTATTTATCTTAATCTTTACTAAGGGAAATTTGAGGGATAGTTCTCAAATTATCTTTTGAATTAAACAAATCAAGATTATTAAATCAAAAAAGCATTAATCTTTGCTATATGGTATACTAGAATTAAACAGCAAAGTGGAAATAATCAGTAAGAATAATGGAATCCACCTAAGAGTTTTCAAAGAACTCAAAAGAGAAACTGTACAACCCTGAACCAAAAGATTTAGCAAATCATTAAACAAAGGGCTTCTACAGGTAAGGCATGATATAGAACAAAGTATATAAATAATATATAATTGAATATATATCCTATATATAAAAAATATAACTATAATCTTGCCAAGAAAGCTGACGAGTACTCTAGTTTAGGACAGAACAATTTAATACTAATGCAAACTACACCCATCAAAGTAAAGGATATTTGGCTCCTATAGGGGTAAAATATCACTGATTAATCTATAAACTGTTACTACCACTCAGCACCTAACAGTACTATACTAGATGGTAAATTTGTGAGAAAAGAACAAAAGATATTTATACTCTAATTGGGAAGTTTTAATTATTTTTCTCTCTGGGAACATTTTCCTCAAAAGAAACCATAAACATTTTTAAAATAAATACAAAAAGTAGATAAGGGGGCTGGGGGCTGGGTAACGTGATTGCCTAGCATGCAAGAGGCACTGGGTTCGATCCTCAGCACCACATATAAATAAAATAAAGGCATTCTGTCCATCTACAACTACAATTTAAAAAAAAAAAAAAGCAGATAAGGAATGAAAAGTGTGGAGAAGGGTAGGGAGCAGCAAACCCTGAGGAAGATTATAATTCAGAATCCTTTAGAAAACACTGAGGGGCAGGCAGTTGTAGCTCTGTGACAGAGCACTTGGCTAGCATTCATGAGGCTCTGGGTTCCATCCCCAGCTCAAAAAAAAAAAAAAAAAATCACTGATAATCTTTTGTTTATTTCTTGCAGTGCTGGGGGTCAAACCCAAGGCCTCACATGCTAGCTGAATATTCTACCACTGAGTTACAACTCCAGACTGGAAAACACTGATAATCTTAAGTAAAATCTCTAAATCTTAAAAGTAAACCTAACATACCACTAAATTTACTAAGACAGAACAGTAATCCCCCTTTATCCATGGGGAATGCATTCTAAGACCCTGGGGGTCTAAAACCACAGGGAGTTCCAATCCTACTAAAAACGTTTTTTTGTTTTTTGGTTTTTTTCCTATATGCCCTGCAGGGTTGCTCATAGTCCCCAAGTTAATCTGTCCTTCCATGTTTTATGCCCTGGTATCACCTTTAGCATCATTATTATTTTTTGTTTTGGCGGGGGTTTGCAGTGCTGGGTATGGAACCCAAGGCCTCTACATGCCAAGCAAGCACTCTATCACTGAACTACATCCCAGCCCCAGTATCAGTATTCTTGTGCTTTGGGACTATTCTTAAGAAAAATAAGGGTTACTTAACATAAGCCCTGTAAAACCATGACAGCTGATCTGCCTACAAACATGGTTACTAATTGACTAACAAGCTAGTTACACAGCGAGGAGATACTAGACAAAGGGATGATTCACATCCCAGGTGGGACAGACTGGGACAGTATGAGATTTCAGAATGGTGTACCATTTAAAACTTAGGAATTGCTTATTTCTAGAATTTTTCATTTAATATTTTTAGACCATAGTTGATCACAGGTAACTGAAACTACAAAAAGTAAAATCACAGATAAGGAAGTGCTGTTATATACTTTGTAAAATAAAATATAAAACCACATTAAATAAATCACCCCAAATTCACAATTACAATAATTATGATCATCAAAAAGCAGAAGCCAGACTAAAGTGTCCGATTAGTATTACCTACAAAGTAAATGCTTATTTATTAAAATGAGCATGTAGGAGAAATAAATAAGATAGCTTCTTGTACTATCAATACCTAGAAAATACCATTTTCATAAAAGCAATGCATATTCTGGTAACTTTTTCTTTATCTGTTTAATATAATAAATAAAATGTAGGCCAGGCATGGTGGTATGCACCTATAATCCCAGTGACTTGGGAGGGAGGCTGAGGCAGGAAGATTGCAAGTTCAAGACTAGCCTCCACAAGTTCAAGATTAGCCTCAGCAACTTAGCACAACTCTGTCTCAAAATAAAAATTAAAAAGTGCAGGGGATATGCCTCAGAGGTAAACTGCCCCTGGGTTCAATCCCTAATAGCTAAATAAATAAATAAAATGTATAATGGTATCATTCGAATTACTGTAATATGTAAAAAATAATGTGCTTATTTTTAAGCAAAATTTTCTCTAGAATATGACCAGAAGCAAAAGGGGCAGAGTGGTTTACCATAATTATATCTCTAAAATATATATAATGCTACTTAGAAGCATTAAAAACAATAGTGAAGGCATGTATCCATCAATGGATGAATGAATAAACAAAGTATGGTATATACATACAATGAAATGTAATTCAGCCTTAAAAAAGAAAGAAATTCTGCCAGACATCATAGCACATGCCTGAAATCCCAATGACTTGGGAAGCTGAGGCAGGAGAATCTCAAGTTTGAGGCCAGACTCAGCAAATTAACAAGACCTTAAGCAACTCAGTGAGACCCTGTCTCTAAATAAAATACAAAATAGGGATGGGGATGTGGTTCAGTGGTCAAGTGCCCCTGAGTTCAATCCCCAGTATAAAAAAAATGGGGGGGAGGGTGTTTAAGATGGCAAATTTTATGTTATATGTACTTCACTGTAATATTTAAAAATTATAGAAAAATGCATATACCTATTTGAGAAAAGTAAATTTCATCATATGTAAATGAAAGCCTAAAAATAAACTTAATGCATGCTGCTTAATTAGGATCACCTGTCAACATATGCAGTAACCTTTGAGTAATAGGAGCAACAGTGAAGGAGAAAAACCTCAAAGAAGCTACCTCAGCCGCCACTCTCTCACCCTGTGCCTACCTACAAGATATATTCCCTGTCATGGATGTCTGAAGCCTTGTCTGAAAACCATAAGTATAAGAGTAGTTAAGGTTGGTTCTAATCATACATTTAAACATCTTTAAAACCTCTGATTAGTCTCTAAATGTCCATTTGGTTAGCAACTGGTGTACAATATATTCATATATGTTAAAATAATGCTTTTCAAACATACAGACACACACACACACACATACACACGGGGAAAGAGAGACAGAGAGACAAAGAGAGAGAGAGGGGGGGGGGGGGGGGGGGAGGGAATTATAAGTGCCAAACTAACTCTGCTGATCATTTCATACATTTGTCTACACTAAATACATCAGAAAGTTTGCTTACCAGACAGGAAGGCGATGTCTTGCATTAAGAAATGACTGATGTCCTTTACACGGAGGAGCAGCTCTGTTTCTATAACAAATAAGAAATAAGAGGAAATAACATCCATGCTAAAATACAGCTGAAAACATATACATGATTTCTCAATGTGGCCAAAACAACCCTGGAGCTCCAGCAGATCTCCATCCACAGACACACTGCTAATCTTCTCTTTCCTCCTCTCAGCTATAAGGCACGGAAATTATGCTCTTAAAAATATCACCAGGCACGTAGGACACGCGACCTACTTCTCAATCTACGTCCGGGACATAAACTGCTCTCACTCACCAGAAAGCCAAGGGCAAAGATGCAAACTCCAGGACATCTGGAATTATTTCAAGGATGGATAGTCACATTGAGACATTGTAGCACATTGTCTTCTTCTGATAGTGCCTTTCATTCCACAAAGCTTTATTATTAACAACATGGCACCTTTAGGATCCTCAAAATAACCCTGATGTAGATATTTTTATGCATCTTATAAGTCAGGAAGGTGTTTCAGAGAGTACAATGAGGCAATTTACCTTGTGGTCTTCTGAGTCACAAAGGCCTGGATTCAAATTCAGCTTGTTGCATTTACTGGCTATATAACCCTAGGCAAGTTAAAGCCCCCTCTAAGTCTCAATTTCCTCCTCTATAAATCAGGAATAATAACATCTACCTCACAAGGTACTCTGCCAAGGAAATGTGAAATAGCAGGCATAAGAGTAGGTGTTTGATATACAATAGCAGGTTAACTCATTTTTTATCACTATAAATGAAACTATGCCTGTGCATTATTCAATGTATTTTAGTTGTCTCAGATCTTAAGTTCTAACCTGTAATGTTCAAATCTACGAAATTCTACAGGAGCCAAAAATCAAAGTCCATTATCTGCTTCTGGTCCATGAATAAGGATAACATTTTAAAAGAAAACAGGTCATCGAACCAGGCTATTTTGGATTGCTGAGTTTAGTGCCTGTAGTTCCATGTCTCTTACTGAAGCCATATTTTTTCACCTGCTCTCTGATAAAAAGTGTCTTCAAAGTCCTAGACTCTGGTGGTGTGAGACTGATGACACACTACCCTTGCAGTTTTCCTCAAATCATACCATTTGGATGTGGTTTATCAAAGTCAATCCTTCCCAAGGGAATTAAATAAACAGATTATTGATCACACATGAGACAGTGGAATAGGGTCTCTGTTACAGAATGACCACCCCACCCCTTGGTGAAACATAAATTAATTGACAAGAAGCTACAAGCCATTACAAACCTGCAATTGGTCAGAACATACAATCCATTCTTAAAAATGTCTTGTAATATTAGATTCTTGTCATGTCCTAAGCCAAAGCATACACACTGACATATGCAATTATTCTATCAATGTTGCATGTTTCCTCAGGTAAAAGAATGTTTCTAGCAGCCACAAATATGTGTCACACATTGATATTGTTAGGCATGGAGACATGGAGGAAGGATAGTGGAAAAAGGGCTCGAATTCTCCCTGTCCTCATAAGCCTATAAAACTGACAACACTCTAAGGTTTAAATGAAAGATCATTTGACATAAAAATTTGCCTATATAATAAGAGATCCAAATTTCTCCCCTGATTTATCAATAGAAATACCTATAAAGAGCAATTGATGCCAGGTGCTCCAGCATGTACTGTAATTCCAACAGCTTGGGAGGGTGAGGCAGGAGGATCACAAGATCAAGACCAGCCTCAGCAACTAAGACAGGCCCTGCCTCAGAAAAACAAAAACAAAAACACCACAACTAGGGGATATAGCTCAGTGTTAACATGACCCTAGATTCAATCCCCAGTACCAAAAACAAAAATATATGAATTTTATGTCAGATGACAGATATGGAAGTACTAATATGTGCAAGTCAAGTCCTCCCATATCATTAGACTCTTGCATAAGTATAGAAACTATATCTATTTACTCTACAATTCAGACATTCATGCAATGAGAGGCCTCAGGGCATAAAATAAAAGGCTGTGGGCTAGGAGTAGGAAGACCAGGACCTTGTGTTAGCTCAGCAATTTTGTTGCTCTATAATCTTAAGTAAGTCACTCCCCGCCACTCCCCTTATTATACCCATTCTATGAGATCCAACATGTGAAATCCACAGATATATAAAAAATAATGGTGTTTTCTATATCTCCCAGAATTGTGCCAACAAAATAACATTTCCAGTCAGGCACAGTGGCACATATCTGTAATCCCATCAGCTCATGAGGCTGAAGCAGGAGGATTGCAAGTTCAAAGACAGCCTCAGCAATTTAGAGAGGCCCTAGGCAACTCAGGGAGACCCTGTATCTAAATAAAATATTTTTAAAAAGGGCTGGGGATGTGGCTGAGTGATTGAACGCTGCTGGGTTCAAAAATAAATAAATAACACATTTCCATACTAATGAAAAAAGATGAAATCATGATTAAGAGAGATGTTACTGGCCTGGGGTTGTGGCTCCATGGTAGAGCATTTACCTAGCATGTGTGAGGCACTGGGTTCTATTCTCAGCACCACATAAAAAATAAATTAGGGCTGGGGGTGTGGCTCAAGCGGTAGCGCGCTTGCCTGACATGTGCGAGGTGCTGGGTTTGATCCTCAACACCACATAAAAATAAAATAAAGATATTGTGTCCATGGGCTGGGGATATTGTGTCCATGGGCTGGGGATGTGGCTCAAGCAGTAGCGCGCTCACCTGGCATGCATGTGGCCCGGGTTCGATCCTCAGCACCACATACAAACAAAGATGTCGTGTCCGCTGAAAACTAAAAAATAAATATTAAAATTCTCTCTCTCTCTCTAAAAATTTTTTTTTAAAAAAAGATATTGTGTCCACCTAAAACTAAAAAAATAAATATTATAAAAAATAAATAAAATAAATTAATAGGACTAGTGTTGTAGCTCAGTGGCAGAAGCTTGCCTAGCATGTGCAAAGCATCGGGTTGGATCCTCAGCACCACATAAAAACAAACAAATAAAATAAAGGAACTCTGTCCATCTACAACTACAAAAAAATTTAAAGAAATTAATTAATTAATAAAAATAAAGTCCATCAACAACTAAAATATGTGTGTGTATATATATCTATATAAAGAAATAAGTACTTTAAGAAATGATCAGGGGGCTAGGGATGTGGCTCAAGCGGTAGCGCGCTCACCTGGCATGCATGGGGCACTGGGTTCAATCCTCAGCACCACATAAAAATAAAATAAAGATTCTGTGTCCACCGAAAACTAAAAAAAATAAATAAATATTTTTAAAAATGCTCTCTCTCTCTCTCTTAAAAAGAAATGATCAGGTTCTGGGTTGGAAACACTGAACAGAGAGAAAATAACACAGGAGATATGGGGTCATCGCTGAGCAGTCACAGAGGTGACAGTGTTGCTGAAAATAAAGAGAAGTAACGAGTACTGGATTCTGAGAAAGTTATGACACTGAATTCTACCCTGCTTTGTATCTGGCCCTCTTGCATTTCCATGCGATTTCCTCCTGAAATGCAAAACTGAGAACAAATATGATTTATAACGTTTCTCTTGCTGACCCTTTAAACTCTTTTGTTCCAGAGCATGAGAAATAAAAGGCCTAGATCACCAAAGCTGGATCAAGCCACATTACAGCATGTTCCTTGCTGACCAGATGCATGTTTCATAAGAAGTTTGTCAAGCTGCCCCATGTTGAAAGTTCCATTACAAAAAAAAAAAAAAAAAAAGTGTGTGTTCTCCTTACTTTGCACTAGTTGCTAAGCTGAAATACTGCTGGTTGGGAAGGAAAAAAAAAAAAAAAAAAAAGGTGTAACTCAATAAATAATCTTATAAATACCCTTTAATTAAAACACCTTAGTGGAGCAGATCACCATTTAAGAGCTCTGCTAAATAAGAGGTGGGACCTAGAGGGAGCTCCTTAGGTCACTGGGGAAGCTTCCCACTGAAGGGATTAAGGTAATCCTTATGGGACTCCTAAAGCTCTGGCTTCCTGTTTAGCAATACCATCTCTTCCTTCCACAGCCACACTCCTGTTGTGATAGAAACAATCATTAGATCCCCATCCAGAGCCAAAGCATAACCTTGAATCTGTAGAACTATGAGCTTTAATAAAACTCTTTATACTATCAAGTTTTTTTTAAAAAGCTCTGCAGAAGAACTTCATGATTGTACAATCAAACACAATCAAGTACAAACTGAGAACAAAAGATAAGAAAAGCACTTGCCGAATCATTTGTTCTACATGTATGATAAGAAAGCAAGAGTCAGGCTCATATTGTCTTCACCATAAACCGCTACTTGTTTCTTTTCTAATACAAAAGGTAGTTGTGCAAATGAGGATATAAGCTCAGTACTCAAATAAGAATTTTTAAAGTCATACAAGGTATGGAAATTAATATATCTGGAATGGTTCGCAGAGAGAAAGAAGGGATACCCATCCAATCAGTTGCTCCATTTTGCTTGTGTCACTTGCAGATATGCAGAACATGTGCCATAATAATACAGAGTGTACTGAAAATTTCATAAAGATTTATTTTGTATTCACTCACTTTTAAAAAATATTTTTTTAGTTGTAGCTGAACAATACCTTTATTTTATTTATTTTTATATGGTGCACTGAAGCTCGAACCCAATGCCTCACATGTGTGAGGCAAGCACTCTACCACTGGGCCACAATCATAGGCCTCATTCAATTTTGTTTAAAAACAAGTATTTACTGAGCATCTAATATGTACCAAATATTGTTCTAAACTATTCCTGGATAGATGTTCTGGGCAAAAGTAAAGATTTATAATTAAATAAGTTTATGAAATATTTGAAGATTAAAGATGCTTCAATATGACACATTATGACTTTGGGTATAGGCTCTGTATGCGGTATTTTCCAAACCTATTTGACCAATTATTCTTTTGGTTGATTGGTTGGTTTGTGGGTTGGTTGGTTGGCTGGCTAGTTGGTTCTTCCACTCAAAGAAAGACAAACAGGGGGTTGGAGCTGTGGCTCAGTAGTA